AAATTGGATCACTAAATATTTCTAACAATGATATAACAAAACTTCCATTTGTTTTGCGAATGATGTGGGCATTTAAGCAACGAATCATTTCTGCAAATGAAGTATGGAAAAACTTACAAAGTCAATATGAGATTTATTCAACATTAGAATCATCTGACGATGGAGATGATTTTACAAAAAGCACACCAAAGAAACAATCATCAAAGCATTTGGTTAAATATTAATGATTTTTTTTGCATTTACAATCACATGTAAGTTTGAGGATTATTATTTTTAATTATATTTATGCATGCTATTTTCATTAATGTATTAATTCTCATGTATATATATCGATATATGATTCTGAAAGTCAGAAAAATAAAACTAGCTATTAACCGTGACTAGAATTACATTTTGTAATAAAAACATTGAGATCGTAATTTTACATGGTATGTTATAATATATTATTCGGATTTTGCTATTCTGATCTATGACCTCTTCCATGAATAATCTTAGCTATTAACTTCGTCCCACAGGGTTGCAGTTATACATTTTAAATACTTAATTGAATATGTAAAAAGTTATCGTTAAACATGGAATCTGAACTAGAGTTATTGCGGGAGATAAAAATGTTTTCCGAAGTAATGTTCATTGAACAAGCTCTATAATTCAAAGATAAAGATATTGGTGATTTAGCAAAGAATTTGCACTACAAACTTTGGTCTTTTTATCAATGATAAAGTTAGAATTCGCTCTGAAATAGTGCATTCGAAAATGTAAAGAGCTGATGTATCTATATTATTTGGATTAGAAGATTTTAACGTGATTGATGAGAAAAACTAAATCCATTTTCATTTTTACCGATCAACTTTTTTTATAAAAGTTGAATATTGGTTTGAATCTTTTAATTTTACGGTAAATCGTGTAATAAAGTTAACAGTTGATAAGGTAACAAAAGAAATACAGTGGCTTACAAAAGTAATTCAACCACTAAACATAAAACTTTAATTTTTTAAACATAATTCACATGATTTGCAGATCTACCATATTTTTTCCATTAATTAGAAAACAATAGTTTCCGAATTTAGTTCTTGTTAAAAAAATTTCGAAAAAGGCATTAAAATAAGGTATTTATAAGTCCACAGTCATAAGAATTTATCAATGAAAAGAAAAGACAAGTTGTTTTGAAAATAAAAATCAGGCTGTTTTAAAGTTATTTTTATTCATACAGAATGTATAATTCTTTAACTTGTTGCTTCTAAATGCTCTACAGCAGTTACCATACAAAGAAAGTATAAAATCATGAAAAATTCAAATTTCAACTGAAATTATATACTGAATACTTCAAAAAAATTGATCTGAAATCAAGAATTAAGAAGATCTAATAAAAGTAAGTTTATATTTTTTAGTTCAAATAGATGCTAGTATTGCTAAAAAAAAATCAGAAAACTATTAAAAAGTCTTATATCAAATTAGCAGTAAAATTTATATAATAGTTTAGAATTGCTTTCAAAAAAAGTATTGGTAATATTTGCAAGATTAATGGTAGTTTAAATGAAGAATTTTACCAATGAATTCTTGTAGAAAATTTTATAGAATCCATTCAGATTGGAATTAAATGTTGAAGATACAATTTTCAACATAATAATGATTTTAAATATATAATAAGTCTTATTAAGAATTGGTACTCTGATAATAGAATGATTGTTCTTACTTAACTTGCATAATTTTTAGACTTAAAATACCTTTTAAGATAAGAAAAGAAGATCTTTAGAAAAATTTACAAGATTTATGAAATGAAATTAAGATTAATATATTTTATCTATATTAAAAATAATTATGAATATCACTTTTTAGGAAATAATATACACAGAAAAGAATCAGAAGGTATAGTTATTACTGTAACAAAAATTTGATCAGTGAGATCTAAGCTGTATTATGATATAGATAAAATTTAATCTATAGAAGAGGAATGAAGGTTAGAAAAGAAAGTGTAATCTGAAGAAGAAATATTTTCTTTCTTAGAATTAAAATTAATTTTATAGCTTTTTCAAAATTATAAACAATTTGATAGCAATCTGTTCATATAGTATAAGTGGTTTCAAATACAAATTATATAAAAAAAAAGTAAGTAGCGATAATCAAGGATTTTGAAATAAGTTTATTATGTATAAAATTTAAAAAATAGTGATAAACTATTTTTTTAATAAAAGTGAAAAAGGATCAGGACAGTATTGTCATTAAATACAAGAGATGTAACCAACCAATTTGTTTGATAAATTTGAGATTGTTTAAATAAATATTTAGTTTAATTAAGTTATAGATATATGATTCACAAAATTGTTAAATAAAAACAATGATATGAAAATTCTGATATATAAGGAAACATCTTAATACATTATAGATGATGAGTTAGAATACTATTGAATGTAAGCTGGATTTGAGCTAGAATGTCTACTTTGTTATTAAAAATATTGTCTAAGTGTATTTTAACTTTAATTATATTAACAGTAGATTATTTGTGAAGATTAAATTAAAAAAACATGATCAATGCATAAAATTATTAATTTTGAAAACAGATCAAAAAGTGAAAGATCTTGTTAAAAGGAATTTAAAGTGATTAAATTAGGATATAGCAACTGCAGAATCAGTATATATTGATATAATACAATTAGAAATGTGGTTAAAAAGCAGTGAAAATAGTCATAAATTTAGATATAAAAGAAGAAGGAAAGGCTGAAAGCAGAAAAAAATAAAATTATTGATGAATTATGATATGATTGTAATCATATTAATTCCATTTATACAGAAGAAAGATTAACGTTTTTAAGTGACTTATTAATTTAAAATTTTAATGTAGAAGAATGAGTAAAAGAAAATAAAAGATTTAATAATTACATGATAAAACAAATTTATCAATTAAATTTAAAATTTTAGTAAAATGAAAGGATTAGTATGATAAAAAGATTCAGATTAGTAACTGATAAGAAACAAGTTATAGTTAATTCATATAAAGTTCCTATAGATAGAACATTATAAGTGACGTCACAATAAATATTCTTAAATGTGATTGAAATAGTAATACAGAAGTTTGAAAAAAGTGTAAAAAAACAGCTATCATGATAGTTTCTCAAAGAAAAAGTAAAATTTGATGAAGACGACAATAATCACAAAGATCCAATGCTATAAAATTTTAAAAAAAGAAAATGTATTAAATAAACTGTATCATTAATAATATAAGTAACTTTGTTAATAATAAATGAATTTGAAATTGTATTTTATCTAACTATGACATTAATTATTATATAATTTAGAAGAGATGATTATGTTAGATAGCCATAATAGTGATTATATATGTATATATTTAGTGATTATAAAATACAATTATAATTAAGATTCAATTTTCTTTCTATTATAGGAAATCACTAAAAATCCTATAAGAGTAAATGGTTAGATGAGTAATAATATATAGATTACTATATGGATTCTTTGCAATAGAAAAGGAGGAAACTACTAAAAAAAATTTTTTTGAATTAATATTAAATCTGAATTTATTTTATTAAAAAAATAATATTTAGCTTATAAAGCAAAAAAAAATTTTTTTGGTAGTTTCCTTCCTTTTTATTACAAAAAGCCTATATGTAAAAATATAATTATTATAGTAGTTGACTAACTGTTTAATATAAAGGATAGAATATTTTCTGAGATCTTTAGTATACATTTTGTAAATCATCAGAATTATCTCTAAAATCAGAAAATTATTATCAGTAATAATATTTTGCAAAAAAACTAGAACTACTAAATTAATATTAAGTTTTTTAATATATATAAGAGTGATTAAAGCTATTTGTCTTTTGTTATTAGAGTAAAAAAAGACCAATAAATTAGAGGATTTTAAAAAAACTATTTCTTAATTTATAATTATAATGTTCAGGTATGAAATGATATACTTAGAATATTAGTTTCATTAGTTATTTATAAGAGAATACTGCTAAAAGTTTTGTAAAAACTATTAAATAAATTGGTTAAATTGTAAAATAATATAAATAAAATAATTTAGTAGGTATTTATTTGAACAATTTTAATTTTTTTTAATGAAAACTAAGTATGTAATACTAATTTCTCTACATTATAGTTCAAAAAATAAAGTGAGTTATACTCTATATTTAATATTAGATACAATCTCTGGCAAAAAGAATAGTAAAAAATTTTTTTTAAATAATAAAAGTTTTTAATAAATAACTTTCAAAATTATTTTTATTCTAAATACTTTTGGTTAAGAAATTATATATTCAAAAATTAAAATATAAAAAGTATTTACTTCTCTGTCAAGCTGAATTTAAATACTAATTAAAATACTAAAAAATTAGAAAGTTAGCCTTTCTTAATATTAATTTAACTTCATATTTTCTATTTTCTACTTCTTTAGTTAGAATATATTATTTTTATTGTAAAATATTTAATGAACATTTTTTATTAGTAAGTGAAGCTCATTAATATAGTAAAATATTTTGTAATCTTAATTTTAATGATTAAAATATTCAAATTTGATTTTATTTCATAATTGTAAAAATTTATTTATATTAAAATATATATTGCAGACTTCAAATAATACACATAGTATTTAAACTAGTAATACATATAAAATACTATGTAATTGTTTATACAAATCCTTTCAAAAAAGTTAATTATATAGTAAAAAATTGCATCACTATTATTTTCGTCAGAGACTGTAATATCATAATATTAAATACATAAATAAGTTAAAAATCAGTAAATCTTTTTATTTTTATAATTATATCAATCTTCTTAATTTTATTATGTATTTAATCATTAATAAACTTTATTAAGAAGATGTAAGATCTAGATGCTTAAATACCTGATACTATCTTTGGAAGAATAAGGAGTAATAAACTAAATAAAGTTATTATACTGTATAGTAAAAGAATTATTTGTGAATTGTTAACTAACAGTTCTAATTTCAACCAATTGATTTGTATATTATTAAAATTGAAAAAGCTGTTAATAATATTTGTAATTTTCATTAAATTATCTTTTGATTTAGTGATTTACAAAGTATTATCCATATAAGCAAGTATAGAGATCTTATATTATAAGATATTTGTAATAGAAAAATAGACATTAGATTTCCATTTTACATCATATTATATTTATGCTGAAAGTTTATTAATTTTACAAAGTAGAAGTCATAATAAATGTATCACAATAATAGTAAAATTACTTT